TTTTTTTTTTTTGCAAAAATAGGGAACAAGAATTTTCTTTATTAACTCCAGTAGTTTTTCTTCTTAGCTTTACAATCATCTTGGAGTCAAAAAGGGTTGATTCTGTCACCTTTTATTTATTTATTTTTGTTACTCTGGTCGTTGCTGATGCTGTCACTTTTCATTAGCTCTTCAGCAAGAAAACATGGTCAGAGTTAATGTTAGCCTCTAAATTTTGCCCAAATGATTGAATTATAGGATTTATTTTGTCACCACAGTTGATGCTTCACATGTGCAACACCCACCATATTCTACTGCTGGTGGCCTCCATTCTAATTTCATCCTCCTTTTTATATTCAAAATAAACTTTTCATCTGCCTTCAAAGCTCCGTCCTTAATCATGTTTTGTGTTTAAATTAATACTGCTATTATATTATGATAATCATTTTGTTTGGATAACCAGGGATAGATTACTCTTCAAGGCACCCACTCGTGCACACTTGTCTTTAATTGATTAAAATGATTGCAGAGGAATCAATTATTGGAAATAGAGCTATTCTTTTTTCTTTACTTGATGCAGGGGACATATTGGCCTCCTACATACCTAGCAGACAATAGATTATTAGATCAGGCCATTATTTATCTAACCCTGCTCTAATAGAATCATGTGATGGGTATGCATTTGTTGACTAATTTAAGCTTTTTTAAACGTTGTTATTATTATAATAGGAGTTTGACAGCGTAACACGCATATGTTCCACCAAATCTTCATGTTTATCTTATCAGCAGCATTAATGTCTATGGAAATGCATTTGTATTTGACTTCTGCAATGTTCATTTGATATCTGTGTCAAGGTTTGATCTCTGTAATTTTCTGCTTGAGCTTTGTTCAACTACTTGTATGTTAGGGAGAAGAAGTCATGTAGGTTAAAGGCATGTGAGTGGTAAAAACATGGTTGAGGCAATAAAAGGAAAATTTTATTCGGATGGCCTCAGCCTAGAGTACAGGTGCAACATCCATTTTGATTGAAATTTAGAGACCGATAAATCATATTAGGGATCAAAAGCCTAGAAGTTTAGTGATCAAAGAGATGGTTAGCGAGGCAAATTCTGTTGTTCATAATTTATTACTAATTAAAGGAAACCTATTATTAAATATATGTAAAACCATCTTAGGGAGTATGAACCAACCAAAATCAAACAGGACTTGTTTGTCTTAGGTAATCAAGGGTTTATATTGTTTGATTTACTTGTTTAGTTCTAATTATGTTGATGTGTTCTAATCATATTCCTTAACAAATATTTTAGTTGCTGGGAAGCACATAAATGAACCCTCATTGGCTCCTCCATCAAAAGTGGTTAAGAGAAGGGATAAGTAAGAATCATTTGTGGACTATTCAATGAATCATCATTTGGCCAATCAAAACAAAAACTCTAGAAGAAGTAAATGTTGATTTTGACTATGATAACCTTTTCTTTTGGTACAGTGGTCAGGTGTTATCCTAAGCTAGCTTGTATGAAGCAAACTAAGTCTGCCTTTTCAATCTTGTCAAAGGCAGGTTATCTACTACATGATTAAGTGATTAATGAGGAATTACTTCTTTATAACTTCCTAAGGAATTGGACCATAGTTAATAAGATACAAGGAGCAATCCCCCTTGTCAACTAGGCTACTATTTCTTGGGTTGACTAGAATAACTTGAACAACTAGCACCACTGCACCATTCTATTCTTCTTTACAACAGAAATCTGTGATTCACATTAGAAAACTATGAAAAAGAGCAATCTGGTCTGGTGGGAATCCTTCTAAGATAACTTTGAAAATTTTCAAGTTTTACATTGTTTGAGTGAATCTAACTTTTTTTTTTTCTTTGGGTACCATGTGCAGTGCTTAGCATCTAACTTTTTGTTTACACTGGGAAGCTACCTCATTTTTTGAGGTTGCTTTCCTTAAAGAACAATCTTAAGGGAAAGAGAATAGAGTTTTATGTTTATGATTATTTAAATGTTTGAGAGTTTGTGGTTCTCTATGATTCTTAACCTTGGTCCAAGTAAAATGCAGTGTATCAACTTTATGGTATATAAAATTTTGGGATTGACTTTCTCCTTTGTGACGTTCAAGCTTGTCTCACTCAAGGAGGCAGACTCTCTGGCATGTCATAAGTAATGGGGCTCACTTCTCTGATTCTCTTCTGATTTTCTCTTCTCCACAATCAATAAAACTAGAAGTAAATACATGTATGTTACTCTTTTTTCCTTTTTTTTTTTATCCGTAGAAATTACCAAAGTTTTAAAACTCTGTTTGATGCCCTCTTCTTTCATCTAAGCGAGTTATACGCCAGAAAATAGTCTTCTCTTTCCGGATTCCTTTTTCTGTGTGTTAATTAAGGTTTAACCCTAAAAAGTTTCATACTCAAACAATTGGACTGTTCCCTAGTGGGATAAATAGTTAGCATTCATGTATCAACAAGAAATTATTATACTGATGTACTGAATTTTTTTTAGCTTGAAGTCCTGAGATATTGTCTACTTTGTCTCATGAACCTCACAGCTTTGATCAGATGAGTCTTCATAGTAAAAGAAGTTAGCTTCTACTTATAAAACACAACTATACAGGTATGGTTTACTAGTAGTGGGATGCAAGCAGGCAGATTTGTTCTTATTTATTTATTTTTTAAAGTATGTTTTTACTTCTTGAAAAGTAATGCAACATCATAAATACAGCTAGAATCTTGTTTATAGTTGTAGCAACTAAGATTTAGAAGGGATCAAATGAATCATATGGAGAATTCTCCTAATAAATGATCCTGAACAAAAACTTTTGTCCCTACCATTTTTGCAGTTTGGGGAACAAGAGATTAAGAAGGGGGAAATGCTAGAAAATTGTGTTGGCATGGCATTGTGGATGAAACCTGGCCACACGCACCCCATTAAGGGAGGTGACTCAGTATGTAAAATCCCTAAAAATAAATAGAAAATAAGAACCAAGAAGAAAGAAAGTGCCATGAAATGAAAACAACCACATGTTTCTATTTTCTCTTTTCTTTTGTATTTGTCCGTCACCCACTAATTGTTGAGAATAAACAATAATTAAAATTATGCAATTTAAAACAGTTAAAACTTTACAACACTTTTTACACAAAAACAATAAGGATGGAAGGCAACAACACTTCCCTCACCATCCAAAGGGTAAAATTCTCAATAGGGTAAGTCAACAATTAAGAGTTTGAGACTCCAAATTGGAGTTTGGAGTTTTCAAGTTCGAGTTTTGAGTTAAGTGAAGAGAGATTTGAGAATATGAGAAGGTTATTTTTTTTTATATAACTCATAATCAAATGTATAAAAAAAAAAAAAAAAAAAAAAGAAAGAGCTTACCAGTGAATAGCAGGAGGGGAGTTGAGATTTAACCATCTGCTAGAAGTGATGCGATAACGAACTCGAGAAGAAGCCCATGTCGATACAGAGGCTTTTCTCCTGATAAGAGACCCATTAAGCGGATTGAAAGAAAGCTGTGAGCCAAGAACCGAGACAATAGCCATAGTATTTCCTCCTCCTGTTGCTTCCTCAACTTCTTCAAGCACCCAAACTTGAAGACCCAGTAATTACCGTTCAGTTCTTGAAAACTCATACAGCCTCCAAGACAGCTGATGAACCCCACAAAGAACTATCCTTTCCCCCGCAATTCTCTCCCTTTCCCCTTCTGGGCCAGTTCTTTTGTAATCAATTCTATATGGGGTTGGCTAGAAACCAATTAAAAACAACTCTTTGGCATCTATGACTTGAAAAGGAATGATATTTTGGGTGGAAAATGGGAAATTTTGTGAGCAATAATGATTTTGGCCGTTTGGTGTTTCCGAGGCTTATCTGAGAGTTAGGACTCAGAAATGGAGAAATGGGTTGGACTGTTGTCTTGAGGAGCTTCCGCCGGAGGGTCTTATATAGGGCAGGATTTTGTGGCCCTAAGATGTGATGAGTGTCCAATGGGTGGCTTCTTGTGGGGCAAGATGATCTACCAATTACATTTTGCCATGTGGCAATTTTAATTTTCACAAATGGCAATCAAAGCTTATTCCAATTATGGAATTCAAGCCGAGCCGAGCTGAACTTTTTTAATTTGAGTACAAGTTAATTGAAATTATGAAGATTATCAGTGATTTAAATAATTCGTAAGTTACTTAATTTAAATTTTGACTTAATTAAAATTCTTTTAATAAATTAGTCAAATTTAAGTTTGATGTTAAGGTATAGCAAACCTCCTCTTATTTTTGTTTTAATTTTCATCAAACCTAAAAGATTTTATCAAATTCAATCTCTAGCACTCATCTCCTAAGCTCTCAATATATATGATGTGAATGGCTGAAGAGTTTTAAGTTACTCAAATTTGTTTCACAAACAAATTTAGTTCATCTCAAGTTTTTGTAAACAAGTCAACTTCAAAGTTAATCTTTAGTGTGATACTTAGAGTTAAATTCCCAACTTCATCTTATTTTCAATTTAGTTTGAAGGAACAAAGGGGAGGGGAGACAATATTCGTTCATTTCCTTCTTATTTCATCTCCTCATTTGATTATACTAAAATTATAAGAGAAAATATAAGAAAGCTCCTTTCTTCCCATCTCTTCCCCTCCTCTCCCCTTCGCTCCAATTTTTATTATTTGAATAGGGAAATTTATTCCCCTCCCCTCCCCCAAACCTAACAAGCCGTAAACTTGATACTATCAAGCCGAATGTAGCTAACTGCTTGAGCTTTTGACTTTCCTTTAGATAATAATAGGAAAACAATAATAGGCTTAATTTGCTTTACTGGACCAAACCTAAAATGGTAACCTAATTAGTCTATAATTTTAATTATAAAAATATCTTAAATTTGACAATTGAAAAAAACGCGTTTTCTACGCTGAAAAAAACCTAAAATGGGAATTTCTTTCTATTCGTAGGTATC